ATAAAAGGACAAACAGGCTGAAGCAGGTCCTTGTACCTATCTTACCTAGACTTTGAAGAGTCAAGCAGAAGTTAAGAATCAGGAAGACATAGCTGGAATGACACGTAAGCTGAGACCCTAGAATGACAATTTTAACTAAAGAGAGTCTAAAGAGAAAGCAATTCTGTGTGTGGCTAAAAACTGAGTATCAGAAAGTGAACTCTAAACAGTAGAGACAAAAACAGACTATCTTGGATCACAAAGGACTTTATTAGCCATGCTAAAGAATTTAGCAGTTTGGAATTTATCCTAAAAACAAAGAAAAGCCACTACAGTTTTAGCGGGGGAATGGCACAGGTACATGTGCCTTGCTTAACCCAACATGCTGGCTGCAGGGCCAAGCATGAACAGCTGCAGTAATCCAGTGAGAGCGATTCACGGTGGTTTGAACTAAGACCATGACACTGGGCGTGAGGAAAGACAGATGGCTTAGCTATTTACAAGGTCAAAATGATAGCACTTTGATTAGATGTGAGAAAAATCAAGGACAAAACTGAGCAGATGAGGTTACAGAAGGAAAAAAGTAAATAAAGAGTTTTACTTGAGATGTGTTAATCATTAGTAAGGGCTGTGAGCAGATAAAAAATAGAATACAGGTAGTTGCAAAACAAGCCACGGAATTCACAGAGAGAACAAGCCTTCGAGATATGCAGGGTGAGTATATTGCTTCTTAAGGATATCAGTGTGTTAAACAATGTCAGACAGGAGATGGTAATAACAGCAGTCTGAGATCCAAAAATGGCCACATGAATGACTTCTATCAAAAACCACCTATATATTATGGCACAACAATAAGGAGTGTGAAGATTTCACAAAGATTTTCCTCCTTCACCCAATGCAAATACGAATGCTAGATTATAATCTTTCTAAACACGATCTATGCACGATCAAAACAAGTATTTAAAAAGAAAAAAGACATTAATATTATAACATACCATGTTACTAGATTTTGTATAGGAAAAGAAAAGATCTCCAGGAAAATCTACTAGATATTAAGAATATTCTTGCAGGCCTGGAGGGACAGGCTTGTAACCCCAGCACTGGCAGGCTGAGACAGGAGAATCCCCATAAATTCAAAGAGCTCAAAACTAACAAACAAAAAATATTCTTTATCTTTCTAAGGCTGTGTTTCTAAACGCCAATTTTAAGCTACAAAATAAATTGTTACTTAAAAATTTCAAAGCAAATTCTGATTAAGAAGAAAACAGTTCCCCAACTGTTCCAAGATACTTTCCACAGAACAAAATTCGATACAATTACCGAAAGACCAAGTAAATAAAAAGTTAGGATCCTGTAATTCTGAAACAAAGGAGCTATTCTGAACCCCTCTGTCTCACTAAACCCATCTCATTCTCTCCACCTTGCTCTTTTCCCATCTCTAAATACCAACTATGTGCCAGGATCTAAGCCAAGTGATCTGACCACGTGACAGCCAACCCACAAACACAAACATCCATGAAAAATAGCACCCATTTCAAGGATCTGAAAGTCAAGTAAGAAAGTGACTGTTTTTCTAAGAATTGTCTATAAACTCCAAGGACAAGAGTTATGTATCTCCAATGTCTAATAGCCTAGAACAAAAATCAGGTGATTAACAAGTATTCATATAATGAATGAAAGTAACTGTAATCATCTGGGACATCGGAGTAATGGCAAAAACTATTTCATGCTCTTTTTTCCCCCTCTTATTGAAAATTCACCTAATTCCATTAATTCAATTCTGTGCAGCTGTTGGAAGCAGAATGGCAGTGTCCCTATTTCTCCCCTCAGTATTCACAAGAATATTCACTGTTGACTGTTAAAATAAGAGTCCACACTTGTATACCAAAAAATTAGCTCCACACTTATATACCAAAAAATTAGCTAAACTCTAAGAACTAAATAGGGTTATTAAACAAACTCTAGCCAATTTCCAAAAGCTCAATAAAGAGCAAAATAAATGTCTAACAAACATACACCACATATGTTAACAAAGACCTCCCCTGAATTTACCCAAATCACCAGACAATTGAAGTCATCAGACTAGTATCCCATATCTACTGACCTACCTACAAAATGAAACCATAACACAACCAAGGCATTAAAGGTTTGTTTTTGTTTTGGTGTGTTTTCTTTTACCAAAAAAATGCAGTACACTACAGAATCATATTCACTACACTCCATTATAGACTTTACAAAAGACTATACTCTCTGGTCTTCTCTTCAGAAACTAGTTTTTGCTTTCTGTCTTTATCAGTGGTCTCAAGATTCTCATCACTGATCAGGTTCGCCACTTTTGCTACTAGGTAACTTACAGCCAACTGCAGTTCACTAAAGTGCATTTAATAATTGTACTTCTAAGTTTCTAACTTTGCTTTTGCTTCCTCTTTCTAATTTATTTTAAATAACTGTGTTGTTTTTATATATATGAGCAGTCTTAATTTCTTAACAGAAAACTGGCAGCTAGTAAGTGAAATTAGTATCTGAAACCAATCTGGCTCCAGAGTTCAAGCTGTTAACGATCACTCTTCACTGTTTGTCTGCATGAAAAAACTTTCTCCATCTTCCCTGACACTCAAAGCAAGTAACTAGAGTGATAGAAAAATTACATCCTGGACGTCAACAATGAGATTCTAATTGAGCAGAACTATAACCCTGCATTTGTGGAGTTTTGTACTGTTTGGGTTTTTTTAAGTACCACAAATAAATCCTGTGAATCTTGATTAACCTCTCCCTCAACTTGACAGTCTCAGGTGAACTTTGGAGGGGCAGGGAGATAAACACACCCTTTTATATGCCCTTTACTAAAGAAAGAAGATTGGAAAAAAGGAAAGTATAAAGTTAACTTATCTTTTTTTATGTTCTAATTAATCAGTTTTGGATATTATTTTAATGCTCACAGCAGTGAAGTAAAGGCTTTTGTTTTCTTTTTTAAAGCATAAGCCAATCACACTTTTAAACTAAAAAAATTCCAGTGCTGGTAAAGAAGGCACTGTGGACAAGAGACTACCAATAAGCAAAAAAATGGACCAGAAGCAAACTAAAACTTGAATGAGGTACTGAAAATAAAGAAGAGCTAACAAATTTAAGACAACTCTTAAAACTATTGTGACTTGGTCAGAGATTAGATTTTATTTCAAAAATACATGCAACCAGAAGAATGATGCCATTGAGACAGAAACGCACTTACTGTGGAAAGACTAGTCATAATTGTACTATTTGAGAAAGGAGCGGCTTTGGGCATGGAAAACAGCTTTAGTGGAGGGATAAGAATGAGTGTGGGTCTGCAATGAATGAGAATAAGAAGGATGAAGCATAGTCAAGAAATCCACGACTACTTTCAACAAGCCAGACTATGCAGGGTAATGGCTCCGAAGAAAAGGTGACACAAGTCCTGTACAGTATTTCACAACTCTACTTCTCAACACTTTTGTTTTTGTGTTATGGAAATCAAACCTGAAAAGGAGAACTGTAGCTTAAATGAAAAGGATCCCTTCTTGGAAAGTGCTAGGCTGGTCAGCCCAAGTGGAAAAAATCGAACAAGGTAACTTTCTAGTACGCAGTGAGTCAAGCAGAAGATCAGATCCATCTCGAATATAAAAATGAAAATGGAGGTTTTGGAAATAGGGACAGGAGCAAAATTTGGAAGGAGCAGGAAAAGATGGGAAGGAGAAAGAACCAAAAAAAATAGTGTTATGCACACCAAACTCCCCATTACAAATGTAATCGTACGTATCCCAGACATTTATTAGCAATTTTTTAAATGTGAATTTTAAAATAAAGACAAAAACTGACAAGAGCTTAAATAATCAAAAAAAAAAAAAAAAAAAAAAGGATGTCCAATCAGTCATTTAAAAGAGCCAACATATGTAACGGCTTTTTTTAGTTTCGAATACTATTTAGCACTCAAATAAAAGAAGTAATGTTGGCCATCGTTTCACTTCTGTAGATAAAGAATCTGAAGAACAAATAAATCATAACTGCCCAATTTACTAAGGTCACACTTGGATCAAAAGAAAACCACGATATACTCTGCAAACTCATCTATCACTCCATGGAAACGCTGTCAAACAGTCAAAAATGGGTGGAAGGCAGCAGAATATGACTGAAACTCAAGAAGGAGGACGTTATCTGTAACAATTACACAGTCGTTAGTACTCTGAATCATTACCAGTCAGTCCCAGCTGTTTACGAAATTCCCCTGGTACAGGGGAAAGCTGCCAATTCCGTTTCTTAAAGTTGACAGTTCTAAACACGCGCAAGCTATGGCCCAGGAACATGAACTGGAATTCTACAATGAAATCCCCTCCGCACCTAATCCTACTTCCTAACCAACCCAGAGGCTGCACTTCTGTAAAACAGCTCGACAGACAGTCCTCTAGAAATACCCCGGAGACATCTGGAAAATGTTTTAATAAATGCCTTTCTAGACAACACAGGAACTCCCTCCGTGGACACATGCCTTTCTGGTCATGGCCATCAACCAACTTAGCGATTTGTTAAATGCACCCAATCTTTTTTTCTAAGGGCACAGCTGCAGAGCACTCATTCAGCTCGTGACGGTGGCACACACGTCTTCACCAACATCAAATACATGAAGGGCTAGATCAGGTTAACGCCTCGAGACCGAAAAGACGCAGAGCATCTGGGAGTAGACTGAAAACTCGATCGGGGGAAAAGAGGGAAGCGCCGGTCCCTTCCCTAGATAATATGAATACAGGCCTAGCGCTCCGGGCAAAGCAAAGCGGAACCGAGTCGAGGCCCAGCTGGCCATGGAAAAGGCACTGGCTCTCTGCAACTGGGCTGAACCGGCATTCTTGGGAAACAGCTGACATCACGCCCTAGCCCTCCTCCTCTACGTCCGCCATGGGCTGTGACGGACCAAGACAGTCCCTCGTTCCTCCGTCCCGGCGGGCCGCCAGCCAGCAAGGACACCTGGGTTCCGGGGGACAGCAAGGGAACTCCCTGAGGCCGTTACATACCTTCCCGCTCGCAACACCCGCCGCCGCCATGTTTCCTGCCTGGCGATGACGTAGCGGTACCTCACGTGTCTCTCAGAGTCACAACAACATCCGGCAAGGCTTAAACGACATCCGGGCGGGAAAGAGGCGGGGAGTGGCGGGAATCGCGCGGTGAATGGACTGAAGGAATCGCCTGACGCATGCGTGCTGACTAAGGCTCCGTGGTCGCTAGGGTGGAACGGCTGGCGCAGCACTGCGCATGTGCCAAATTATTTTCCCTGGGTGTTCCTAAATTGAAGTGTATTTGTGTTGGAATTTGCGTGAGTGTAAACACAGGCCACGTCATTTTGATGCGATGAAAGGGATACCACACTGGAAGCAAGCAGCCGTGGCCATTGTTTTTTGGTGTCACCAAGTCACCAAGAAGCTTTAAACTTTACATTTGTAAAATCATAGTAGTGTTGCTGCAGGGATTAAAATAACTCTTGCCCTCTACTAGAGGCACACTGAAAAACTTTTCTTTCTCTAGATGAAGTTTATGAATTTGAGTCTGGTAACTGCACTTACACATGACCTTCAGCAGGCATTTTTAAACTGATAACACCACACCCTGCTTGCTCCCAGAGTCCAAGCACATAGTTTGGAGTTCCTACAGTTACTTATCAGCGATGTGACTTGACACGAGTTTCTAAATTCATGCAATTTTCCCAACTTGTAAAGTAGAAATTATGCATGGAGTAGTTATAGGGGTCTCAAAAGACGGTAACAGATTTATAAGGATATTAAAATAATAACGGAATTCCTTCTCAGTGCTGTAAAAGAATCCAGAGAATGATTAGATGTTACTCCCTGATAGCTGGTATAAGATCTTAAGAGTTCTACCGCCACGGGGCAGAATAAAACGCCCTTTTGTACCGAAACGCCTGCTCCCATTGAAGTAGTCCTGAATTCACACAATGGAGAGTAGTTAAAGGCTTTGAGCTTGGTGGAGGTAAATGGCAGAAGAGAAGAGCAGAAAAAGTGAGTCCATTTCTGTGAATATTGAGAACCTAGTAGTGAGCGATGTGGCAGATCCTAGGAAGAGAATGAATGTGTAGCAGCATGAAACATCAGATTACAACCAAGCCTGGCACTTAATCAGGGAAGCAAGTATTACAGAGGTCAGAAAATGAACATATTAGTAGTAACAAGATTGAATGAACAGCACAAGGCCTTCTCCGAGTATACTGAACTAAATACCCGAGAATCTTCACATAATCCTCAGTGTGGGGTAGAGTCTCTTTGTTTTTTGCACTGGGAATTGAACTCAGGACCTCGTACTTGCCAGCAGGGATTGTGCCTCTGAGCTATGTCTCTGGCAAGATAGAGTCCTAATACTAAACAAAATTTAATTTTCCAATAACTGAGAGTTGGGGTGTGACACCGACTGTTGTCCAGAAAAATGAATGTCCTTAGCACCAATTTCCAGAATGAAAAACAAATGGTAGCTATTATATATACAATAAGCTTGGGAACTCAAAGCTTTTCACTGAGAATTTGGCATCCAGGTTGATCTACTTTCTGACTTGTTACTCAAAGTGAAGTTTGCTGACCAACTAACAGCACCAGCAGTATCTAGAAGCTTATTATAAAAGGAGAATCTCTGAATCCTACCCAGAAACTGTGGGACAGACATCTGCATCCTAAGATATTTAAGCTGGTTTGTAACTTTGAGAACATGATCTAAAATGAGATTTGTGGGGGCTGGGGATTTAGCTCAGCAGCATAAGCGCCTGCCTTGAAAGCAGGCAGTCGTGAGTTCGATCCCCGGTACCGATAAAAGGAAAAAGATATAAAATAAAATGAGATTTGTTTTTGTTCTCCAAAAGTTGAGACCGCCAGAATACAGTTTCTCAGCCTGTTGCTGTCACATTCCTCGCTGCATGTACGTCTTGTCTTCCCCCTCTTCACTGTCTTCTCACCTTCTCTATCTGTCCCTGCACAAGACTCATGGTCCAGGTTCTTCATTATCTTTGGGTTGGACAACTACTGTGGCATCTTAATTCATCCTCTTGCTGTTTGTTTCAGCTTTCTCCAGCCCATTTTTCATACCCCTACCACATTAACCTTTCCAAAGCTATGTGAATTCTCCATCTCTTCAGCAAAAAGTCTAAATTCTTTAGTGTAACATACAATGATTTTCATAATTCTTTCTTATTATTTTTAGGTTCATCTTCCAACTCTCCTTGTCTGTCAGCCTCTGAATGTGCTACCCTGTGTTGCAAGATTGCTTCTGACTGTAGCCTGCCTGATGGCTTGGTTTGGCTTGATCGATCACTGTGTCCCCAAGTTTATGTTCCGATTGTCAAGGTTTAAACTCTATGCCTTCAGCTCTACTCAAAAGTACATGGAATGGGAGGAGGAATGATTCTCAGAGAAAAATCCAAGAATCACTTCAGGAAAAAGGAGAGTGGTGCCAAACAAGCCCAAACAGGTGTCATTTCAGGAAACTCAGTTTCTGTGCTTCCGTATGTCACAGTGAAATGTAGTTGCTGGTTTACTGAACTTCCATCTGCATGAGGACATGAACCATTGCAAGACAGACACTTTTTATTTCAGTGAGCATCAGATCTGGTGCAGTATAGACACTAAGTGGTTATGTAATAAATTAATTTGAATGCATTTTCTCATTTAGGAATGGCACACTTATATGTTTGTCTTAGTTACGTTCTCATTTCTAGGATCCAATACCCAACACCCACCCACAAGTTAAAGGAGAAGATTTATTTATAAAGATTTATTTTAGCACACAATTTGTAGAGGTGTTAGTCTATAGTCATTGGGCTCACAGGTATCGTGGCAGGTCAGAGGCACATCACAGAGCAGAAACACTTCATGGCAGAGCATGCAGGAGGCAGCAAGGCAGTGAAGCAGTGAGCAGCATCAGTAGAAAGCCTTCCTTTCCCTTTTATTCCATCAAGGCTACAAGCCTTTTGGATGGTGTCACCTACACCCAGGGTGTGCTTTCCCAATATCATCACCCAGAACAACTAGGCTAAATCAATTTAGATGAGTTGAGTTGAGTTATCACACCCTTAATACACATGCACACACCCTGGATCCAGCCACTTCTGCAAAACCCCACCTACGAACAAATTGGGCTTTGGGGGACATCTAGCTACCAGCCATAACAATGTTTCATTGAGTATAAATATGTTTTCTTTCTTCAATGGTACCTTCTATCTTTATGTAAAGGAAAGTGACAAAGCCAGAATTTCAAAACAATTCATTTGAAATTTTAGCTTCTTCCTAGATTGGAGGAAAAAATCATAGCACACAGATAACAAATGGACAGCTTTTTTTAAAAAGCATACATGTAAAATTTAATGAAAGTAGTAATTGAGCCTCTAAATAAAACAATTGCTATTCTAGTGAGAGTGAGTAGTTTCAAAGCTATCAAGTTCCTTCCCATGAGCTAGTCATTCACTGATTATAACTCATCCCTCAAAAAGTCATATGCAAGGGGCTGGGAATTTAGCTCAGCGGCATAAGCACCTGCTTTGCAAGGTCGTGAGTTCGATCTCTGGTACCAATAAAAACGAAAAAGACAAAAAAAAGTCATATACAAAAGGATGTTAATGGTGAATATCTTAATTCCTTTATACTTGGGAGGGACATTAGAGATAAGTTTTTACATGGAAGAGATTGAGTCTCAGAGATTACTGATTTACCAATGTCACAAGTTGTTTTATAGCTAAGTAGAGACTTCATTCCAGATATGCTTTGTGGTCAACTGTGCTACATTATCAGCTGAAAGCAATCAGGCTTTGAACTGCAGGAATTTAGTTATCAGTCCATTTGATTCTTACCTCAGCCTCTGACTGACCTATTTGTCTTTTAGAACTTACCCCATGTCCCACTTCATGTATTAAAATTCCTCCAACTTTTCCAGTATTCCTGAAGGTCTTCTCACCATGGTGCTACGGATAGAATGCAGAGCCTCAGGCATGCTAGGCAAGCCTTCTACCACTGATGTGCATCCTAAGGCCTCTTTCCCAAACACTTAGACTTCACAGTTTATCTTAGTGCTTAATTAATCAAATAAATATTATGGAGAAAGTGTGGATTTTTCTGACAGCCAACAGTTTATAGGATTCCTCTCTGGAAAGACGTGTTGCAGTGGAATAAGCCAATAGACCAGGGTCTTGTGTAAAATGATTGCTAATAAGTGTTTATATAACTAAAAATGGTAATATTGTTCACAGGTGAGCCATGGTGCACATTTTTTTTTGTTTTTCCTGGAATTAAAATTGTTTGGTTTGGTTTTGTTCCATTTTCAGCATCAATTTATTTCTGTAGTTTCTGCCAAAAGTTCACTGTTAAGCTAATAAAACCTCATAACCAATACATGGAAAGGAGAGGATGCATCTACATATTGGAGAAAATTTTTAAAAATCCAACTCATCTTCCAATGTGAACAATTAATTGAAAAATTAAAAATAATAGTCTCAGGGCTGGGAGCGTGGATCAAAAGTGATACGGCACTTTGGCTAGAATGCCCAAGGCTGTAGGTCCATACTGCAGCACTATTGAAATAAAACAAGTAAAAAAAGTATAATAATGAATGTAGAAACCTGTAAATAAACAGAAGTACCAAGAAAATTTGAAAATTGTTGCCTTTGAGGAGCAGAAATAAAAACTGGAATAGGGCTGGTGATGGTAAACTTATTCATTATAAGCTTTGTCTAAGTAGTATACTTATCAAGTATAAGATGTCATAAATTGAAAGTTACATTATCTTATGTGACACTAAGAAAGAAAATGCTTGGGCTGGAGATTTAGCTCAGCAAGGTAAGCCCCTGCCTGGTATGTGTGAGGTCATGAGTTTGATCCGTGGTACTAAAAAAAAAAAAGAAACAAACAAACAAAATTCTCCTAATAAAACTCAAAACACATTTTCTTTCATTGTAATTCTAAAACACCTCTTGACTTTACAGATTATAATATATGAAAATGTATGTTTTAGAATCTATGAAACACACACACATACACTAGTAAAGTTCAAAATTCAGTTTAAAAAGAAGTACGGCAGGGTGAAAGTGATGAAAAAGAACTGTGCTGATTCAGCAACCAGAAAAAGAAAGTCAAACTAAACTCAAAACTACCGGAAAGAATAAAATAAAGGTTAGAGCAGTGAT